TGTACAACCAACATTAATTTACACATCGAACTGTTTGATTAAAGTATATAACAAACTAATGTTACCTACTGTTCATAAAAAGTAACTAAAGCAACCTGTTATGCTTAATTTTAAAGAAATTTTGAAACCAAATACAACTATTTGGACGACGCAAATTTAAAGCTAATAAAAGTAAAACTATATAAACACCCCGTTACTCTTTAGTAATCATCTCTACATTGGTTTTAATTTGAAAATACCTACAGATATTGACGACATTATTCCAGAAGAGGACACCAACACTGAATCATCAAGAAGTCAGTTTAGGATACTTTGACCCTAAACTTTCTATTTATCAGGGAGGAGTTACAATGACCAAATGTCTAAGAAATGTGCAGTGCTTGCACTGATAAGAACCCTTTAGATTTAATTATGCTAGGATTTATTTATTCTTGTTTATTAATTGTAATGTTTGAATTAAATATTCTGTTAAACTATTAAACTGTAAAACTACTAATTAATTAATTATTATTATTAAACCATTAATTAATTGTGAAAAATAAATATTAAAAAAAACTATTGGTGTTCGTAAAGCGTAACTACCGTTTTGTTTTTTTTAACAAAGCCGTTTTTTTCAGTACTTAGTTTTAAAGCTGGAAAATTGCAGTAAACCTTGTAGTATTTTTTGTTATACTGTAGGGTTGTGGAATTGACCGGTCAAATTGTTTTTGGTCAATTGACCAAAATAAAATTAAATAAAATATCGAAATAAATATTACTGTAATTTATTTGTACTTAATAATTAGGTAATTACCACAGGTCTGTGGTAATTACAATACCTTACCAATTTTTTTTTTATTATAAAAGTTATGTCCATCTTTAGAAACGTTTGTGCGGCTTTAAAAAGTTATGTTTCGCTATTAAAAAAGATTTGTCCCGCTTTAAGGGCAAAGTGCCGAGTCCGGCCTAGCAACCCCTCGACTCGGGGAACCACCAAATTGTAAATGATGTCGATATTGCACGATCACCAAAATTTTGAGATTCACGGGTAATTGTTGATACCTATATAAAATGCTGCAAAAATTAAATATATTTTGACCGGTCAACTCTATTATACTGTATAATAATTTGGAATGTTAAAAGTCAAGAATCTTGGAATATAGAAGAATATTACAAGTTGTAATTTATAACCTAAATTAATTACTTAGGATTAATCCTAAATTATATAAAACGCTCTACTTCTATTATTTACCCTCTGTACTCAGAAAGCAATATACTTGGCCCACTAACATACAAAACTCCTGACCTACAACTTATTCTACATATGGAAAAACCAACCTCAAACTACAACAAAAACCATGACTAACAAAAATTTTATCTCACTTAGGAACTTTAAAAATCAAGAATCTTGGAATATAAAAGACTCCCGTTGACATTAAAATCTAAACTTCCTTTATGGACAACTAACTTTACTTCCGGTTATCAAAAGTCTTGTCATTTTGACAGCGAAAGCAAAAATAGTCAATATCACAATGGATTGTGGTCAATATTGTATCTTTACTATTTACAACCAAATTATGGCGTTCAAAATTCCGTGTTCACCACTGTACCTCCGAAAATAATCCCTAATTGTAAAAATATTAATAAATATCTCTACTTCTACTAGAGTCCCTATAAAAAGAGATTGGTCAACTATTGGTGCATTCAAATTGGACCTAAATATGACTTGAAAAGTCAACATTTGAATAAAAATCAAAGTATAAACACAATCACCTAGAAAATTATATTAGTGGATATTTTTAGTTCCTACTATTATTTAGTTACCTAATTAGTAATTACATTATTAAATTAATGATTGTCACGTTAAAACCAAAATGACAGTTGACATGGACACTAGGGTGTCCGTTATTTACCAACTTGGTTTTTGTTCGCAGCGCCCCCTAAATTTTTAGTTAATGACCTAAAAAAATTATTAAAAAAAATATTCATATTAAACCGTGCCACAAAGACTATACATTTTCCATTTAAATAACATGGGGTTTCGGCAAGTTTTTTTTTTTTTTTTTAATTTATTAATAACCCAAAAAGAATACAAGATTCCATAACAGGTGCTATGTATAGAAAACATAAATAAAATATATATATATATAACAAATACAGTATAAGACTAATATAATTTAACATAATTTAACATTCAGGTACTTTTAATTATCACAGTGTTATCTTAAAGATATATAGTAGTTTTTAACTGATGTAGAGAAGGCTTCTATTGTTCTTTGGTTTTTGGTTGTCTCAGGGAGTATGTTGAACCACTTCAGGGCAGATTGCGTTATTCTCCTTTCTCCAAATTTGGTGGTGTTTGGATCTATGTGGTAGTTTTCGTTTGTTCTAGTATTATATGTGTGTTTGTCACAGTTTTTAGTTAAGTTAATTGTTGTATTTATCAGGTTTTTTTTGATTTTGTACACTACTTTAACACTGTCCAACATTATCTCCTCATTAATGTTTAATATATTCAATTCATTATATAGATCTGTAGTACTGGTTCGATAAGGTTTGTTAAATAAAAGTTTTAGAAGTCTGTTCTGAGTTATTTGCAAAGTCTTTAGGTCCTTTTTTGCTGCATGCCCCCAAAAGGCTGGAAGATATGTTAGGTGGGAATTAATGTAGGCATTGTATATTAAATATTTTGTTTTGTTGTTGATTAAATAAGCATTTCTTCTAAGATAGTAGCCTAGATTACCAATTTTATCTTTAAGACTTTGAACGTGGTTACTAAAACTAAGATTGTCATCAATAATTAAACCTAAATATTTTGCACTATTCACTCTATCCAAAATTTGATTATTTAATTTTAGCGAATAGTTATCACAGTTTCTTCTATTTTTTATGACTAGATAGTTGCACTTAGTTTCATTGAGTTTAATATTGTTTTTTTTAGTCCACACATTTATGACATTTAGGTCATTTTGGGCCCAACCAAACACTTCCTCCTCACTTCCGGAATAGAAAAGTCCGGTGTCATCCGCAAATAGGACTGATTCACCTTTTATGTCACATTTACATTTATCTTTTTTCTTCCGAGCAAGTTAATATACAGCAATAAGTGATACCTACATATTTTTATAGGAAATTGAACGCTGTACAATAAAGCTCTTTTATGATTTTTCGATAAATGCACTTGTTTAAAAGTTATTTAAGGTTAAATTCTTTAAGGTTAAAGTTAAACTTATAATAATGTTTTCGATTTTTTTACTTTTAATGCAAAATTATAACTATTTTTATAAAAATAAATTGTTTATTTTTGAAAATATGTGATTTTATTGTATTATTGAAAAAATAAAAATTATTGAAAAGAGATAAGTGAAAATTATTGACAAGAGATTCCGATAAAATTTTTTTTATTACATTTAACGAATCTGTTACTAGTTTTACTCAATTTTAGTACGATTACTTTTTTACATAATCTTTTTATTTCTGTGAAATTCTACAAAACTTTATACGATTTTATAAATTATTATACATTAAAAAATTTTCCTTCAGTACAGCTAATGACGTAGATATTTTTTTAATAATTATTTTTACGACAAAATAAAATTCGTAGTCTTGAGTATGAGATGCAGACGTTTCCGCTACACCAATTATCCTTTTCAAATAAGTTAAATCTATTTATCTACTTCTACATTGACGAGCTGTGACTTTATGGCGCTTTAGTCACGGGCTGAAGTTGGCAATAAGTAGTGGCTTTTGGGCATTTTAGTCACGGTCTAAAATTAGTTTATATTATATATTAGAGAAAAGTGAGGTTAATTCCGTTGACGTTTGACAGATGTCAAATGTTTAACAAATATAATTGGCTTTAAATTATTCTTTGTGTTCGTCGTAGATAAAGTATACTTAGTATGCAACTCGTTTTATAAACTTATCTAGACACTCGTTTTTAATAAGCTTCGCTCCTACTTCAACTTTGCGACACGAAATCTATGAAGTGCGACTTCTGCCTTCTGTGGTCAAAGTACTAAATCATACTTTAGTGCGCATGCGTAACTACAAATTTTATTTTTTCGTAAAAATAATTGTTAAAAGAATTTAGAAATTAGAACTACTTCATTATCTCCAGCTGAAGGAAAGTTTTTCATTGCATAATATTTTATAAAATCGTATACAATTTTGTAAAATTTCACAGAAATAAAAAGATTATGTAAAAAAAGTAATCGTAACTACTAAATTTGAGTAAAACTAGTACCAGATTATTTTAATGTAATAAAAAATTTTTAATTCATCGGAATCTTTTGTCAATAATTTTTACTTATTCTTTTCAATAATTTTTACTTTTTCAATAATACAATAAAATCACATATTTTCAAAAATTAACATTTTATTTTCATAAAAATAATGATAATTTTGCAGACAAAGTAAAAAAATCGAAAAAATTACTATACTTTCAAATTTAACCTTAAACCAGTGCATTTATCGAAAAATCATAAAAGAGCTTTTTTGTACAGCGTTCAATTTCCCATAATATATGTAGGTATCACGTATTGCTGTATATTAACTTGCTCGGGAGAAAAAATAATAAATCTAAAACTTGCCGAAACCCCATGTTATTTAAATGGAAAATGTATCGTCTTTTTGGCATGGTTTAATATGAATATTTTTTTTATAATTTTTTTAATAATTTTTTTAGGTCATAAACTAAAAATTTAGGGAGCGCTGCGAACAAAAAACCAAGTTGGTAAATAACGGACACCTATTAATCTTAGTTAATAGTTTCTAAGCTACTAATAGACAACAAATCGTGACCTTGGAATGACAAGGTTCTAAGTGCAGTTGCGCCGTTAAGCAAAAATGACTTATCTAGAATATTAATTATTGCAGGTAAGGCATTTTTGCTTAACAGGGCAGCTGCACTTAGAACCTTGTCATTCCAAGCTCACGAAATGTCGGCCATGTTTGGGTCCAGACTCTTCTTATGGAAAAACCATCCTTAAACACTAAACCGTAATAAACACAAATTTTAGGAGTCGGAAGAGACCGCTATGTGGGCCACATACCCTCCAATAAAAAAAGAGTTCTACGTCGAGCATCCGGAAGTGACGCGGCTTACGCAGCAAGAAGTCGAGCAGTTCCGGCTCGATAACAACAACATCGTTGTTGATCGCACGTTCAAAAATACCGAAAGCAAACCTATACCAAAACCGGTGCAAACGTTCGAGCAGGCATTTCACAACTACCCGGAAATTATGGAGGAGATCCGGAAGGCGGGTTTTGAAAAACCGTCCCCCATACAGTGCCAGGCTTGGCCGGTTCTGCTTAGCGGGGAAGATTTGATAGGTAAGTTTTTTCGATGGAGAATTTTAAATAAAATCTAAAAATCAAAATATAAATTTCGGAATCTTAAAAATATTATATTCTTAAAGGATCCTTAACAAATTTAAGAATAGTATAGTATAATAAAAATCTTTATTTTATAATTATGAAGTTTTATTTTTACGTTTTATGTTTTCAAAGGAAATTAAACATTTTTTTCTTTCTTCATCTAGGTATTGCTCAGACTGGTACCGGTAAAACATTGGCTTTTCTGTTGCCAGCTTTGATACATATCGACGGGCAGGGTGTTTCCAGAAAAGATAGAGGTAAAATATTATAAACCTTATTTTCCGATTTTAATGAACACAAATTTATACAGGTGGCCCTGCGGTGCTAATTATGGCCCCTACTAGAGAACTGGCTTTGCAAATCGACCGCGAAATCAAAAAATACAAGTACAAAGACATCAAATCGTAAGTTTTTTTGGGCGAATATAATTATTTGCTTTACCTAATGAAAATTTAAAAAATTTAGAGTCTGTCTTTATGGGGGTGGTTCTCGCAAAGACCAGGTTAGAGAAGTCACTGATGGTATTGATATTGTTATCGCCACGCCTGGGAGGCTAAACGATATTGTGGCCTCAGGTAAATACTTTATCTATTTGTATTGTGCTTTAAATTGTCAAATACACACTTTACTTTTTTACGCTAGTAAAGTCTATTTATTAAACGGACGCAGTAAATAAAAAATACAATCACGCACTATGCACGTGATTGTCAAAAACCGAACTAAAACCAAATATATTTAATCTTTAGTTTTAGTTTGGTTTTCGGCAAGCACGTGCACATTACGTGATTGTATTTTTTTATTTACAGTGACGGTTAAATGAATAGACTTTTCTATTTAACAATTTTTCCGTATGCTAAAAACATTCTTAGGTCAAATGGACGTGAAACCGGTAACTTATGTCGTGTTGGACGAAGCAGATCGCATGCTGGACATGGGATTCGAACCGCAAATCCGCAAAGTTATGTACATGATTCGCCCGAATCGACATACAGTGATGACCAGCGCCACCTGGCCGCAGGGCGTGCGAAGATTGGCCGATTCATATATGAAAGACCCTGTGCAGGTCTACGTCGGCTCGCTGGATCTGGCAGCCACGCACACCGTGAGGCAAACTATTGCCTTGCTGAAGGACGAGGACGATAAGATGTCCACAGTAAGTGAATCTTTTATGACAAATTTTGAAGGATTTTTAAATAAAAATGTCAAAAGTACACTTTAGAATGTTAACACATTTCTTATGTTTAAACATTTTAAATGTCAAAACACATTTTTGTGTCAAACTTATAAATATTAAGCCTTAAATAAGGTTAAAAATACCTAGGTAAATAATTTTTATTTCAAACAAATAATGTTTCGTTCCGACAAGTTCTTTTGTCATTATCTTTCTAAAATGAAATAACCTTTAAAGTAAAGACCCCCACAGACATAATTATTTTTCATTTGTTTTGTATCGCCACGATTCTGGACATCGTGCTTAAGCGTTTTAACGTCAATATTTCAATACGCACACACTACGGGAAATTCTGGCGGTTAATTTTTATTCGTCACACAGTGGTCTAGAGAGATTTTATTTTTTTGGTCTAATTAATGAAATTTTAATATAAATTACATTTTACTATCATTAGAAAAACAAATCCACAATATAATACAGGGTTGCCACTTATCTGGAAAACCTGAAAATGTCAGCAAATTTAAATTTTTTAGAAATGTCAGGAAAATGTCAGGGAATTGGCAAAAAACTCTACAAAGTCAGGGAATTGGTTATTTTTAAATAAAACTGGTCAACACAATTTTCATTAAAAAAAAATATGTTAATGAGTGTAATTTAAATTTAATTTATTCAAAATATGGCAGCGCTTTATGTCAAACTTATCACTATAACCTAACTTATCACAACCTTAGAAGTCTATATCACGACTTATCACTATAATCTTCTAAGACTATAACAAACTATTTTTATGTTTAGGGTAATTAATATTTGTTTATTTTGTAAATGGTAAGCATAATTAATAAACTAATTAATTAATCGGTAAAAGCATAATTAATAAATTAATTAATTAACCAGTAAGAGACCAAATGTTTGATTTGCAAGCAGTCATAGGCCATATAAAAAGTTCGGGCCATTTCGATTCGGCAACGAAGAACACAAATTTGTCAAATTTTCTTAAAAAAAAAAGAACCAGATGGAAATACTACTCTCTAAAAATGAATAAGTTAAAAATGACCAATTGTCATAGCGAAAAAGCAGCCACTAATAATTATAGTCAACAGCTATTTGTGTCCCGGATATTTAGCAGTCAATTCCTATGTAAAATTGTCTGCTGAATCCGAATATGTCGTCAAAAGTTAAAAAAGTAGGACAGTTTTTAAAATTTATTCAATTTTCCATGCAATATGGAATTGACTATATCTCAAAAACTGCTAAGACGGTCTTTTCGGATTCAGGGGACAATTTTACATAAGAATTGGCTGTTAAATGTCCTGGATACAAATTGCTGTACACTACAGTTATTAGTGACTGCAGTGAATTAGTCAAAAATGACATATTTCAAAGTGAAAAAGCAAAATATGTAATTTTTGACTAATTCTTTTTTAGAGTGTTTGCTTGAAAAAGTTAGTTTTACAGGAAAATAATATTAATAATAATATTGCTTTAGAAAATAACCAGAATAAATCAATTTCTTCAATAAAAATCCTGCAAAAAATTTAGAAGAAATAAAATCTTTTTTGTACTATCAAATATTTACTGATAAGAACTCATCAACTTGATAAACAAGACCTGCCGCAGACAAAATTTCAGAGGCATTTTTAAAAATTTCATTATTTCTGTTATTTTCAGAAAATTAATGTATAAAAAAACTAAGAAACAAAAACCTGAACCCGAAAAAATTAGGTACAACAAATTTTTTGTTAATGTTTTTGAATTCTATCAACTTCAATAAAAGTTTAGTTTTTTAATTAATCATTAAAATTCAAGTATTCCATAAGCACCAAAGGGCGGAGTCTTTGCTTGATTGCTTTGATTTTTTTGTATGTTTTTAATAAGCTTTACTTACTTTTGCTGACAAAGGGAAGGGGGAGTTAAAAATTACAAAATTACTGCTTACGTAATACTTGAATGGGCCCATACTTAAAATTTTAAAAACCAACACTCAAAGTCCAGTTGAAAAAATCATTGAGTGTCAGGAAACCAAAAAGAAAACACATTTTTTTTGGAAAAAAATCAGGGAATTCCTGGAAAAGTCAGGGAATTTGGTTTAGACAAATCGGTGGCAACCCTGTAATACCAAGTATTAAGTCTTAACAACAAAATTATCTTCGTGTCATAGCAAAATTAAGATCTATAGTTTTTATAAAAATATATCTGAACATTTATAAAATAAAACTTTATGATTATGGTTGATTTTAACAAAAAATGCATAAATAATAAGTAACTATAAGTAACTACTGATAGTTTTTAATAAAGGGGAATATCAATAAGTATGAATAAGTATCAGTAACGTCAAATTTTAACATTAAAACGTTAAAATGTTACGTTACTGATACTTATTCATACTTATTGATATTTCCCTTTATTAATAACTATCAGTAGTTACCACAGACCACCAAAACAAATGGACGGATTTGTTTACGTTTAAAAAGCGAGTAAAGCATAGTTTCACATTCTAAACACCGTCGAAAGAAACACGACTTCCAACGTTGTCAGAAGTATAGATTACACGCCTTTTTGGACGTTCATCATAACATAATGAACATTAATAATTACCAGTAATTCGTTTGAATAATAAAAAAATTGTAAAAAGGATTTGTTCATCATTTTCTTTAGATATTTTTCTCTATTTAAAGAAAGTAAATCATTTAATAATTATTAAAATTAAATATTAACAACGTTGGTAAATTCGTCATATTTGACAGCATAGAAAAAGGTTATGTTCTGTGGGTTGACAGCTTGTTGTTTTGTGTTTTCGTTTGTGTATTTCTATCGTGTTTAAGTTAATTATGGAGTTTAAATACATTATTTTTTACTAAAAATAACAATACATGGAAATATCGTTTGTAAGTACCTACCTACTTATTATTTTTTATATTTTTTAATCCCAATACGTCACTGGAAGAAAACATAAAATTCTATCGACAATTTAACGCTTAGACTGTGACCGTTTGTTGACGTCACTGGAAGAAAACATAAAATTCTATCTCCAATTTGACGCTTAGACTGTGACCGTTTGTTGACCGCAAACAAATCATTGTTATTGAATGGCAATGCGCCGTCCATTTGTTTTGGTGGTCTGTGGTAGTTACTATTTTTGTAATTTGTTATCTATGATTTATACAGTATACTGTGTTTCGGTGTGTCAATTCGAGTTTGATAGGACCTATCAATAAAAAAGATACTATAACAATAAATAATTTTGAATTAATTACTGATAACTCATATTTATCAATAATTTTCCCCACCACCGTTTCGAAACGCAAAATTCAATAGTAATTATTAAGTTGCCAAAGCACAAAAAATAACATTTTTACTTGTCACAAACTGACTGTCTCACACCTGGTGTGAGACAGTCAGTTTGTGACAAGTAAAAATGTTATTTTTTGTGCTTTGGCAACTTAATAATTACTATTGAATTTTGCGTTTCGAAACGGTGGTGGGGAAAATTATTGATAAATATGAGTTATCAGTAATTAATTCAAAATTATTTATTGTTATAGTATCTTTTTTATTGATGGTTCCCATCACCAACGCGTTTTTCTGTATAAAAAAATATATATTTGAAATAAGGTTTTCCGAGACTCATTTATTTTTGTAAATGCGTAGTCTACTAAGTAATGTAAAACTAACTTTCTATTAAAATGCTTTAAACTAAACCACTTTTCACATAGCTCCGTATGAGTATATAATAGTATGGATAATTTAATAACTTAAAAAATAAACAAAAAATATTTGTGGCGCCTACTTGCACTTGATTTTAGATTTATTTGAAAGACAGAATGGTAAGCTATTAAAAACACTTTAACACAGAGTGTGGCAATTCGTGACACCTTAGTAATGTTAATACATACATTAAAAATATGCAGCGGTTACTATCTTGACGTAGTGAGAGTAAAATAATAATAAAAACTTACCATTATTTCTTTCCATAGCTATGACGTAAGAAAGTATTTAATACAATGATAGTCAAAAAGAAAGAATAAATTAGTAATAAACATTGTAAGAGAAGCAATACCTTTACGCGAAATTTACCAATACAAATCAAGTAATTATAATATTAGAACTTTAACTGGTTACTTGATAAAAATTCAACAGATTTGAAGGATATTTAGAGTTGTTTCATTTTCTACAGATATTAAAGAATTCAATATTCAATAAATTTTGTCAAAATAAAACATTTACTTATTTTAAATTTCCGCGTGCTGGAAGCGCTCTCTAGCCTACTGTGCGTCATGAAGAAAAAGCATTGTTTTTTTAAAAAACGACCTTAAAAAAACACGAAGATCATATTTATTTTATGTTTTCGTACCGTTCCCGGTATTCTAAGCGCTTCAGGCAAGGAAATTATCCGTAGGTTTCAATAAAATCTATTACAAATTGCTTACATATTGATATTACAGTTTGACACGAAAGCTGATGGACCGTCATTCCAGAGTTGCCAATGGCGCACTTTTATCACTTTTTTCATCAAGTCACTTTTTTGTTGTTTTCACCTTTCTCACTATTTTCAAACGTAAACGTTTCACTGGGCCATTTAACTAAGGAGTAGAATCTTTTGCGTTTAGAAGACACAACTTTGATAAGTAAAAATAACTATGAGGATATACTTCTTGTGGGCCATTATTGGCGCCAAATTTTTAAATTAAAAGATCCTACTAGGATGTTTTCAATATGTTATCGAGAACTACAGCCAGTAGTAAAAGCTGCCCCTCTAGCACATGGCAGCGCAGATGTGGAAAGATCATTTTCAGTTTTTGGTAAGACACTAGCACATGATAAAGCCCAAATGAAAGCACAAACATAAAATGCTAAATTAAATATTAAAAGCGCATTACGGAAATATGGAGAGTTGACCTATTCCTGCTGAGTTGTTAAGGTCTGCCTATTCCGCTAACAGCAAATATAAAGAACACTTGGCTAATGAAAGAAAAAAATAAATA